CAGAGATATGGCTCCAGAGAGTCAGGGCATGTCAGAGATATGGCTCTAGAGAGTCAGGGCATGTCAGAGATATGGCTCCAGAGAGTCAGGGCATGTCAGAGATATGGCTTGAGAGCTACATTCATTAAAGATCACTAGTCAGCCATTTTGAATCTGATCTGAAAAACAAAATGACATGCATGAAGGTGAAACAAAGATATAACAAGCCGTGAATGACACAGTTCCCGTTAGTTATCAAAGATATATAGTTTTGTTTATAGTAATATAGTTGGAACATAAATATGTCAGAAGTATTGATCCAGAAGCTGATGCTTGATTATGATGATTTTTTAACATTAAAATGGTTGACATTCAGTCATATTGAATATGATCATCAAATGAGTACTTCTGCATATTGCGAGATTAATTTATACCAAAATGACATCCAGACAGATACAGGGACGTACAGACAGATACAGGGACGTACAGACAGATACAGGGACGTACAGACAGATACAGGGACGTACAGACAGATACAGGGACGTACAGACAGATACAGGGACGTACAGACAGATACAGGGACGTACAGACAGATACAGGCACAAATTTATTGTTTATTCAAGCTTGGAAGCAAGGGAAGCATTATCAGAGTTGTTATCAGAGTACATGTAGCAATAAAATTACACTGAGTACTATAATGAAGCAGTCAAAGTAGTGGTAATAATTTATTGTGAATAAATTATTGGTACTAAATGTATGGATGATATGTGTTGATGGTTTATATTAATAATCTAATTGATGGTCAATACTTGACATAATAACAATCTTGTTTAGTTAGTGGGTCTTTTGTGTTGTATACATTGCAAGGAGGGCCTAAAATTGAAATTAACCATACCTCTCCAAGCAGCTCAAATGGTGCTTTTCTCTCTTCTTCTTCCTCCTCATCAGAACTTTCATCTTCACTGGTGTCATCATCACTATCCTCTGAATCATCAACTTTATGTTCAGTCTTTTTCACTTTCTGTATTGTTCCAGTTTCCATAGTAACAGATGATTCTGGGTTCTTACTTTGAGATGCTGAAATAATAGAAACAAGCTATTGAGAATGCCACAGCTTCATCTGTTCTTGTATTTTATAAGCCCCTGTTGTACAAATGCATGTACTAATTATATGCTGTGAACAAAATGGACTGCCGGACAATTTAAAATGTGCGAGTCCAAATGTGTATGGCAAAATGTAAAACAAAAGGGCTGCTTCATGAACCATCTTGGATAAACATGGATAAACTTGGATAAACAACACAGATAAACTTTTTGTGCCACATATAGAACACAATTGTCTGTAAACCAAATTTGTAGCTACATGTAATTGGACAGTGAGATAAAGCAGAATTGTGAAAATGCCAATTTCCATCGAACAAACAGGCTTGCCAGTCAGCCATATTGGATAGAATCTCAACAATCAAGGAGTTGAGGGCATCGTCGAGTATAGGCCCAGGGTGTTTTTACCAGGCATCGACGACATTTATTAAAATATGCATGTAAAAGTGTATTTCATTGCATAAAAATCATGATTGGTACGGTAGTTTGGTTCCAGTTTTTAAGAGAAAACTTGCATTAATTACAGAGTGCACGACGAGTGAAAGTACGTGACATAGTTCACACATTTTCTATTCTGTTATTTACGCGGGGTTCACCCCGATGTTAAAATACTGAAATAATCCATATTTCTTTCGAGTAGTAGTTTTCCAAATGGCAAAAATGTTGTCGTGAAACCTGGTCACTGATCATTGTTTCCATTTTTCGAATAATCTTGTTTATTGAGACTATCGTGAATGGAATGTGAACGACAAACTATTCTTCGCCGTGAAAGGTGTGAATACTTCCCTTACCCTCAGTTTACCTTTCCAAAATTGCAAATCAAACGTCACTGTTTTTGTCGAAATCAGTGTTAACAGATCGCATTTTAAAATCGCGGTAATTCATTTCTGCATTGCGTTGAAAAAAAAATAGTTCGTCAATAATCGGAAACTTTGACTGTATGACACAGCATTTTTATTGATTAATGAAAGACGTGACCTGTCAAAGGAAGTTGTTCAGATCAAACTATGATGAAACCCTGGCGGAAATAGCTTTGTATCGAGTTTGCGTACGACCTTGCCTTTTACCGTTTTCCTTCAGACCTTACCCATTTTTGCATCATAAATTCAGACAGTATGTAAATCATATTGTAATAAAATGTTTGTATTTTTATGAATATGCTATTCATTGTAAAAAGTGTTATTGAAATCATTTAATAATTTTTTCCTCAAAAAGACGTAATATTCTTCCGAGACCGGCGCTGTGAACGGAAAATGTAATTTGGATAATGTTTCGAGGTTGGGAAGATGGTCACAGTTTTAAACGCCCCTGGGCTTATACTCCATGAAGTACGGTAGTTAAAGTTATAAAGTCCTGTCAGTTTTAAGTGACTGTCAACATTAATGCCACATTATTATTTACACTCATGTGACAGACATAATACAAAGTGGAGCAAGTTTATTTGTGCAATTCTTTCCTTTCTTCTTCCCATGACATCCATAATGCATTTCTAGAATGAAATGACGATCTTGAATCAAATTCTGAAACAGATGCATGTGTAAATATTAAAAATGCGTGAGATCCCTTATAGGGTTTTGCCAATCTCCCCAGGCAGAGTTCTATTACGAATATATCTCTGCCACCACGCGATCTTATGCTTGTTGTTGATTGGTCGATGCGTCACAGTGGTACTACTTTCAAAGACGCGTACCAAATACATTGCAATGCAGGTGTTCGATTTTCAAACCTAACTAA